AATAAACGAGTGTTATGCTAGGAAATTTTGCCATGAGAGTCTTAACACTGAAATGACCGCCTCGGTAGCTCAGTTTTTATGTATTGCTCAGTATTAGGAAAGATTCGAGGTTTGAATCCCAGGAAATATTTCTTCTTTTTAGGCACTGAAGTCACTTCCTGTAGATAAGCTCACACACGTACGTTTAGTCTTTATATGTATTACTTTTTATGATACAAAATCACATAGAAATTTATTACAAATTATTGGCTCAAACAGTTACTTTATTTGTACGATGTTTTTTTATATTTAGCTAATATTAATACACTTTGATCTCAACGACTCCCAAAGTACCTATTTAATAATCTAAAAGCGTAAAGTCAAAACCAAATCTTTATAGTGATCTCGTGAAATCGCCACCTGGTTTTTACCAATTTACGTGACTCAGTTTTATTTGAAAATCTGCCACCGAGGATGTTATTACAAATATACGACACGGTATAGATTTTCTACTGTAGGTAACCTTACTTGAAAATATATTTTACCAATGACCGCTTTACCGTGATTGATTAAAAATCGATTTTAGATTGAAAAAAATTTACGACACGGGCAGGACCCGAACCGACAACCACAGCGTTCCGCGCTGTTGCTCTAACGAAATAATATCCTAATTAAATGTTTGATAATTAGAAATAAATTAATTGTAATAGTTGTAAGCATACCAAATTACTGAAAAGAGTTTCAATATAAAAAAAGGGAACATTCTTTCCTACATATTTTTTTGATGTCTTGAACCACAGAGATTAATAATTTTCCCCGTTTTTTCCACATTCCCCGCTGGGAATGGGAAAAACCGGGGAAAAGAAAGCGTTCTTCGCTCCCATTAATCACAGCAAGATAATTAATAGTTGCCAAAAATCCACGATAAATGATCTAACTCACTCAAAAATAATTTTGCAATTCGAACCAATAGGTAGTTCGTGAGATTCTCGAGTATAAACAAACATACTATTTATCTTTATATATTAGTATAGATAGATTCAGCCGTTATAAAGTCGTCAAAGTTTGCACAATCTTTAGCAGATATGTGTAGTAGAACGGGCGTGGCAGGAGGCGGTAGGTAAAGGCCTAAAGAATTTATTCAATCATACATCAGTTAATAAATGCTAGTAATATCTTTTTTCATCGATTGTTATAAATATTTTGCTCAGCAATGAGAGACAACTCTCTATATAAGGAAACATCGATAAATTCCGAGCTTCGAGAAAATCAATTTATTGACAGCGGCATAAAAAATGTGCGGCGGCTTATAATTTTCAACAAAGTACATTTTAATGTAGGTGCAGCACTTGATATAATTGCCTGTTGGTGTAATTTAATATTGTATACGTTGAAACCAGGTTTTAGTTTTTACTACCTCGAAACATTGTTTAGCGTGGCTAGACATCTATTTTACTAACAAAATCTAACTGAAAAATAAACATCGTTGAATTGGGCGGTGTCTGAACCCACGACCACAGCTGTCCCTAGTGTTTCTCCCATGGTTTGATTTGCTACCGCCGAGTTCTAGTCGCGCTTGTGTCATATTTTTTAAAATCTCAATGATTAATGTATTTGACGACTAAAATAATATACGTAATCCTTTAAACAAAATATTTGTAACGACGACCTGATGTTTCAGCCGACTTACCTGTAAAAGTTTCTCATTTAATGTGTACAATTCGCATATGAAATTACGAAACTTCTTTAAAGTTGAAGTTTTATTCTATTGAAGTTACATATTTGTAAAATCTTAATAGTGTTTTGTTTATATTTATTAATATTACGTACTTAGTATAATCTAAATGAAGACATATATATAGACAGTATTTAGTATCCATAGTTTTCTAATGACTGAGATAGGATAGGAATAGGTATTTTGTAACTTGACATAAGTGTTTTGTCGATTCCCGATTTCCAGAAATCCAGCCCAGGTGTCACAACTGCGCATTAATATCAAATACAACCTGTTTACACCGACACCGAGTTAAAATATTTATTCCATATCAAGTGCTTAGTGTAAATAAGTTTCATGTTGATTTTTTATAGATTAGAGTGATATTATACGTGTGTCAACAAGAGCCGGAGTTCAATATACCTACGATTCTTATCAAACGTTTAATTGCTGTAAAATATTTTCGATTTGGCACCCAAATGGCAACACCGTCTCACGAGTTTTATGTGTCAACATTTTTGATTGAATTTAATCCAAATTAATATTATAAATGCGAAAATGTTTTGTCCGTTTGTTACTCTTTCGATATCGATCGAGTGTGTGAGTAATACCTACACATTTATATAAAACACTTCTAACGCTAAATAATGTGACATATATTACTTATTGTTAATTTAATTACGTGACCAAGGCTGTTGCAAAGTACCCGAAACTTTGGGTCGTAGTTCAAATAAAATTATAATTAAGTTAACTAACATATATTGCATAGGTACCTTTTAATATATTTATTAACTACGGCTCTACATTTCGGATTCTTTGCAGCAGCCGTCTCCCTGTGACCACAGAAAATAAATTGTTAATTCTCTAATATATTTCGCGTTATAGATTATTAAAGGTAGTTGATGAAACTTTAACCCGACCGAAACTATCTTGTTCATCCGAGACTCGAACTCACGGTCTTAATACTTACTTAATGGCAAATTATAAATAAATGTCTAAATGCATATGCTTGAAAATTGTAATATATTTCACATGACGTAATATAAATTAAAAATCTATTTAGATTGAACGTAACGATATGGTTACTGGTTCAAGCCCCGCCCGTGTCATAATTTTTCAATTTTAATTTAATACAATAGTTGTTCTACGAAGTATTATATGACCTCATTAGTACAATCCATATAATATTCGAATAACAGGAACTGACTAATCGCCATAACGTTACAGTAATTAATATCTATTATATACAAAAGTTTCCCACGTCTATTATCTAAATACCTACAGGATGCGCGTGGGTTCGTGTACTTATGTTTAAACCCAATTATTCTACAGTAGGTCGAAGGTCCTCGCAAGTCAACAAAGCGTCCACGCGCTAATGTATTCAAAGCGGCGATTGACGAATAAAATTTCTTAGTATCGTCTCACTCACAATGGAATTATGATAATTTATCGGTTGGCTTGTGCCGGCAGAGTGTGTGGGAACGCGCAAGGCACGAGCTTTCCCACGACACCGATACGCGAAGAACAACGGCTCGCCGTGTATAAGATCGAACGGGTCTTACGACGTTCTTCTTCCGCGAGCCGTACTACTCGATAAGCGATCGGGCGTAAGCGACATTTCGTGGTCTCGTTACATTGGTTATCGCGAATGCGAACGCTGTTCGGGGGACATACGTCGTTTCGTCGTCCGGCGGTCGGAGACAGAATTGGAGTAAGTAGCATCACGGTTCGACCGCACAATGGCTCGGTTTCGAATCAACTAGCGGTGCTGAGAACTCACACCTTGGCGCGGATGTGATTGTTATTATTTTGTGACTAATTGGATTTCGTTGGGTTCTCTGAAGAGATGTGTAATAACCGCGATTAATTAATTCGTATTTCACATACAACGCATTCATACCACAACGATGTTAATCGTTCCACGAGAGATCCTAGATTCGAATACCGGGAAAATAATTATGTTTTCGGTCGGATAGAGCAAAGAACTGAAGTACTGCAAAATAAAATCGGCTACGGACACATAACTGAGTCTGTCACGACATTACTATATGTTTATCATCTTTAGGTATAGGGATACAAGTGGTTGGAATGTCTGTTGATAGTTTTTCGACTTATAAAATTGAATGGAAGCAGATAACAGCGCGTATTAAGTTGTGCTGAATTAAATAGCTCTATGAATCTTATTAAGATAATTTTAAAGTAATAGACTCGTGTATTAAGTAATAAACGCAAGTTAGGTAAAAAGTCTTATTTCTATCCGCGTCTGTCTGTATGATGGCGATAACGTTGCGTGTCGGTAGACGCCCGCGCCACCGTAACTTTAGGGTTGTCACAAATAAATAATAACTTACCACCGAGAAACTTTGTCTCATCTTCACACTTCGGTTTTTTTTTATATTTCACAGCAATCAAACGACAATTACACATTATTTGAGATAAATTCTCAATTTTTATACTTTTTTCCAATAGTCTGTCTTTTATCAATTCCCCTAACGTCTTATATAAGTGCAGGAGTGCGACAGTGATTTAATGTGTCGCCACAAGTCGAATGAATGGGCGCACTGTGACGTCATTGTAAGAAAGAAGACCCCTCGTGACGTGTGCAGCTTTCTAGAGGTTATTAGTGACGTCATTGAAAGACGCGCGGCCCCTGCGTCTGCACGATCTGGAGGGAACGCGTGGGAATCGAACTAGCCAGGTGCCATCAGCTGACACCCCTTACACCGATTGAGCAGCTGTAGACTGTAAAGATTTTAAGTCTTATTAATTCTTAAAAAATATATTGATGAAAGTCAAAGGTGTAAAAACTGATATAGAGATTGGTTAATTTGGAAAAGTGAATGTTGAGTATTGAAAATATTAAATATGCAATGTAGCATTATGATAAGTTATATATATATATGTACATAATTATAAAAAAGTACAATTACTACAATTACTTATAGTACCTACATTACCCCCTACCCTAGTAGTACTCTGCAATTTTTCAATTTTAATATTAAAACGAAAGCTAACTTAAAAAAACTCTCTCTAACAACTATATTTAATTGTATGATTTTCTATTACTTAAATACATAAAGAAATTGCAACAAGTATGTTTTATAAAAAAATATAATTATATTATAACTCCCAACACCTATATAAATTATAAATTATCACGTTGCACGTTGTGCCACCCCTATTTTTATCACGGGCGTTTTGCCACAATCGCCGTAGGGCGCATAAAAGCAAACCGAGAAGCGGCGCGCGCGCCATTCGCTCAGATACCGTCGCGAGAGTAACACTAATGATTTTACCTGCTCGTACCATGTCCCCACACGGGGCCTTCCACCCTCCGGCACACTCGCACCCAGATGAAGAACCCGTTTCCCGAACTTATCAATACAGGAAAGTGATGAAGCCGATGCTCGAAAGAAAACGGCGCGCGCGCATAAACCGCTGCCTCGACGAATTAAAGGATCTAATGGTTACCGCGCTGCAAGCTGAAGGAGAAAATGTATCAAAGCTGGAGAAAGCGGACATCCTCGAGCTCACAGTGCGTCACCTCCACAGTTTAAAGCGCCGGGGACAATTAGTGCTGAAACCTGAAATGTCTTACGCCGAACGTTTCCGGGCAGGATTCGCCCAATGTGCCACTGAAGTGTCTCAGTTCATTACAAACGCTACTGTTGCTGCAAACGCAATGCACCGGCAGGGCCCCGTAGACCCCCAGGCTGGCGCGAGGTTGCTGCAGCATTTAAGCAATTGCATCCGAAGATTGGAGAGTCCAGCGGTAGTGCAGCCGCAGCCGATAGTTCCTAATGGGGTAGCTCGGCCGACCCCCGTCCAAGCGATGGCCCCAGTTCCTCAGCCAGTGCAACAAACAGAGAGGTGTATGAAGAGGCCTCTGGAAGAGCCAATTGATGTGGAGACGATCGGTCCAAAGAGACAATACGCGCCGCCCTCGCCGCCGCACAGCCCCGCCTCCGAGACTGACTCCGCCCAGTCGATGTGGCGTCCCTGGTGACCTCCGGCGAAGGCTCGCCCCGTGATCTCGAATGCTCTCCATCCAGGATTGTGTCAACCGTGTGATAGTTATGAACTTTTGTTGTTTTACCGTTAACGTTCCTAGAACCGATGTGTGCATGACCGCTTTGCTTGTTGATGTTTGTTTTTAATTTAATAAAGTTAGGTTTTTTTGTTCTGAAACCGTGTTGTTTATTACCGACTTCGTCTTCAGCGTCGGGTGCATTTATTGTAAGACTTTTGAAGTACCGTATCGTTAGCCGTTAAGTTTGTACTGTGATAACTATGCAGTTAGGTTTCTTTGAATTATATAGAGACGTCCGCTAAGTCTATTTCTATGGAGTATAAATAAAGAACGAGTTGTATTTACAAATGATTGTTTTAATTTATTCAACAGATTTGTAATGCTATACAATGCTATAAAATGTCGAAACTACTTTTATGATGTCGTGATAACAATCGGACATAAACTTCAAACTTAATTATTAGCAAAACTGGTTAACGAAATAACCAGAATCGGTACGAGACTTGAAAGATTGCTATCCTTATGTAAATTGGTGTCGATAAAATCGATGTGCCCGCGGATAATTATGGTAAACAAGTTCTACAATAAACAAAAGTGTTTCATGAAATATTCAAAAGGGAGCACACAACTAAATGTCAATTCCCACGCTGTAGTTATCTGTTGCGGGTAAAGCAATCGGTTACAAACGCTACGATACGTCTTTTCTAATCTTCTTATCTATATTAAATCACCCTCAAGTAGAATAAACTAATGAACATAAAAAAATTCAATAAGAATGTTAAGTTTAATGGAACAGAAGGGAAACCACTTTAAATAAAGATAAGAGTTAGGCAAACCTATATTAAAAAGGAACAAAGAAAAAGTTTAAAAACCGGACAGGCGAGATTCGAACCCGCAGTCCTCGCCCTGCTCCAGGATCTCCACAAATTGTAGCATAGAATCCGTAATAAGTACTTTATAAAGAAAAGAATCTCAAAATTCAGTTTAATTTATCCAGTTTAGTTTTTTATTTACTAAATTTTTCAGAAGGTTTAAAGAACCTAATTAAAAAGACTAAAGAGCAATTAATCGTACATGCTTATGTAATTGAATGCGCAAGCGCACCCCGAAGCGATAGAAACAATAGTTTCGGTCATGCATGGAACAAAAGACTGTTGAATTACTTGGCTTTAAATAAAACGAATAGCTACGTAATTGTACTTAACTAAATATTGACTAATTTAAATCATATGAACTTAAGTTCCGTATCGTCGGAATCCTGGGAAAACAATAAATAGTTTCGGTCGGACAGGGCACTGTCTGCCTGAACTTGCCTAGAAATAAAACTGTCGAAGTCGTAAAGACTCACGGGATTTTACTTTTTATTAGTTGCTCGTTATCCTACAATGCCTTTAGGTATAAATTAACCAGTTAAAAATGTCTAGAATATGAAGCTGCATCAATCTTAAACAATATCATTAAAGTGATCCACTAAGGGCCCTTATTACGGTAAGCTTGTAGTAGCGTCGGGCACAAATTGGTCCGAATCTAATTGTCTTGCGTGCGATGCCGTGGGAACAGAGAAAATATATGTATAGCCTCGATCGAACTTCACGCTAAGCCGTGAGATATTTGGAGGCTTTTACTGACGTGTTCTTTTTAAAGTTTTTTATTTTTGACAATGATAGCGATGTTTAATCATTGGGTCGTGGGTTCTATTTCGACTGTTTGTTCCTAAAAACCTATTTATGTACCGTCTGTAATTTACGCAAGTACTCATTTAAATAAAACGCTAACGGTTTAAACGCGAAATATATTAGCTTAACTTATTTGAAACATTTGACGACGACCCGATGCTTTGTAGCAGCCGTGAACACGAAGGAGTAAAGATGGAGGTTATAATGTCAAAGTAAAAAACTGCTTAAAAAATCTAAACAACTATCAATTACCTTGCGAAGTAGGCGATCATCGAATTAGCGATTTATTTTGGATAACCTTTAATTTTACTTTTTAATAAATCTCGCCGTTTTATTGTAAATGTTATCTTGATAACATTTGAAAAGCAATCGCGATTTGCAATCGCATGTCGTTGGCGAATCCTCCGTATCATTATTTAAAATAATCAAAAAAGAGTGTAAGTGTCGTTATTATTTCATCATACCTTTTTATTTTTGAATATAGCCTACTATCTATGCTAATCTGAAGAGATTGTTTGTATGAACGCCCTAATCTCAGGATCTAAGGGTTCCAATTAAAAAATAAATGTTGGTAGAAGCATTTACCGAGGAAGGCTTTATTTAGGATACGACACATCAAGGTGCGACCGATCGGAGAAAAACAGAGGGATGTGTGGAAAAAGGGAGAAAATTATTCATATTTAAGTGTGTCCGTTTTTGCACTGTGAAAACGGTTCAAGATACCCAAAAATATGTCTATGTCTAGAATTATTCTCCTTTAAACTAATGTCTGCGATAGTATATGTCTATCTTTTAACATTAAAGAGTACGACAAACAAACTCTGCAGCTTTATAATATTAGTATAGATAAAACTTAGAATTGTTGTGTGATTTTGGCATTTTTTTTAGTATTTGTATGTTACACTATAACGCTAATCCGATAGAAAGCTTAAGCCTAATTTATCGGTTTGTTGCACTTGACATAGGCTGTAGATATTTCTTTTATAGATACAAACTATGACGGAAATTATACACGATGTAATGTTTATACGTTACTCATATTTCATGTAAATACATTGTTAATATAAAAATACACATATAAGAAATGCGCAATTTGAGCTTGATGTATTTAGTTATTAAATATGTCTTTATTTTTATTATATTCTTATAAACTTTACTACTTATTATGTGTAATATATAGTAGATGTAGAGATAAGTCACTAAGAATTTACATTATAATGCAATTTTCCTTAATGCTAAGTGGCTGCATTAAACGAACTCATTTGCACTCCGCGGCGAAAGAATTTAACAAATATTTACGCCAATGTGAAAGCCTTCGGACTAAATTTAGCTTAAAAGTAAAAGTCAAAGGTAAGCCGTGTCGTAATACTACCTTATGTAACGAGTTTTCAGAATGGTTTAACGCCTATTGTTAAATACGGGAAATTTTTATTCTTAAGTGAAAAGAATCCGTCACGAACTACTGTTGAATGATAAACACTAAGTATTAGAACTAGTAACTTAGTTACTTTTTCATGATAGGGGAGGACAGACAAGCATGAGGTCCACTTGGCGGTAGTTGAAATACTCCAGCCATTAGATCATTTGGCCTCTGAAGTGAGAAGATGAAGAGAAGAGTCTCACACTACTGAGTTTTAAGGGCCACAGAGTGGGTCGCTTGCAATGCGGCAGGGCGCTTCTAAAATGATGGTGGACAAGGTCACAGCCGCTACCAATCTTAATCAAATAAAAAGAAATACAGCCATAAATCATCTAAATAAAATGCACTGTAGACCTTTTTGTGGCTTTGGATATTTGGAAATCCACAGGTTGAAACCGTCACGCGTTCAAAATCATGACAGCTCCATCTGTGGACGGGGGTCGTAACGCGGACACAATTTCGATAATTCTACCGCCCATTGTATATCCAGATTTCTAGACGAAGTTCAACCTGTTTTAAGAAAAATTGTACATTGTTTAGAAGCACGTTGGACCCGGTGGGGTACGAATCCACGACCCGTTTATACAACGTTAACGAGTCCATAAAATTGTAGATTGTTGAATCTTATAAACAGACATTCTAGTTGTTAGTCAGTGAATCTAGTAATAATTAAAACAATCGCTTAATAGTTGAATTTTCCCGTTACTAAAACCACTCTCTAGTGAGTAACTTACTTTGGTAATGTATTTCTGTAACCGCATTCTCCTTGAAAGCTGGTTTATGACCAAACAATAGTAAAACAGTATTTGAATGCTACATGTAAAACCCTAGTTTGATATTCCACCTACCATCAAGACAACCCCTCTCTAATTTCACTAACTAGATATAAGTAACTGTATAAGTTTTTCGTTTCCCAATTTTTAGTTTGTTTCCCCCCCCCCCCCTGGGGGTTTTTCCCCCCCTTCCCCTTTTTTTTTTTTTTTTTCCCCCCCCCCCCCCCCCCCAAAATTTTTTTTTTTTTTTTTTTTTCCCCCCCCCCCCCGGGGGCCGGGGGGGGACCCCCCCCCCCGGGGGGCCCCCCTTTTTTTTTTTTTTTTTCCCCTTTTCCCCCCCTTTTTTTTTTTTTTTTGGGGGGGTTTTTTTTTTTAAAAAAAAAAAAAAAAAAAATAAATATAAAAGCATCACTGGTATATGCACATAGCCGCGCGGACTATACGTGGCTGCTCTCCAAAATCTATAAACTTCGTGTACTAGACTCAAAATCCATTTGACCAGCTTGCTACATCCACCAACACTTTGCAGCCCTAATATCTTCGTCCACTAGTACACACGCTCAGTTTTCTCGAACGCTAGATCGAATACTACTTTCCTTGCACCAGTACAATATGAAGGATACCACCATTTAAGGCGAATAAATAATAATATGGTAGCTGATGGTTTATTTTTGTTATCGCCTTGATTGCGGCCTTAGCGCACGCTCGGTTATTTTTATAATTGCCGACAACATTCGGTCGGTGGTCACGTTTTTAATTATTTTTAAAGCGTCGAGTGTGAGATGCACGATGCAATTATGATTAATGCGTTTATGTGTCAAAAATTATATTATTCGATCGAAAGTAATTTGTTGAGATGTTGAAATGAATATAACACGTCGAACAGCGTAAGACGGTGTGGTCACGGCGGCTGTAAATCATTCAAAATAGTATAGCATAGTTGAAGCTAAATTGTGTGAAGTGAATCAGTTTACAATGAAACATTTTTACGACAAAGGCAGGATTTGAACCGGCGTCCCTAGCGTCGTACACGCCATCGTCGCAAAATGTCGCATTTTCAAAGGGTCAAAGGTGTTTTGTTTACGCTATTAATAAGTACTCACTGCA